CAAAAGGACTAAAAAACCTTTATCCACATCTAGAATTATTCTTTCATTTATTTTCCTTCAGCTTAGTCCCTTATTTATCAGGGGTCACGACAGCGGAATGAACCGCCAAATATTCCAGCATATGTTTTACGCAGCGGATGCCCTTTCAGCTGCAGCCCAGTACTGGGAAACACCCATACAATTTAACAATCACTCACACCCACACACTATGGCCAATTTAGTTAATCCAACTCACCTATAGAGCATGTCTTTGCAAACAAACTGCTCAAACTAGTTGACTCAATATTTCAATTAAGTGTTCAGTAGCATCATTACAATTGGATTTTGGCCAAGAGCTCAGTGTTAACTGAGAGTTAATGAGTGACACATTTGTGCCACTATACTCATCAAATACATCTAGATTAAAATAAAGATGTGAAGTTCTACTAAACACAAAAGTTGGTTCACAAAAATGATCTGAGGTAGCATTTATCAGGCTTGTGTATCAGTGTCGTATGGTAGCATGGTACTTATCCGGAGACATTGAAGGAGACCAATTATTCCCCGTGTTCGCATGGGTTTCCTACGGGTGCTCCATTTTCCCCCACAAGTCCAAAAACGTGGTATAGGTGAACTGGCTAGGCTAAACTGTCCATAGTGTATGTGTGTGAATAAGAGTGCATGGTTGTTTCCCAGTGATAGGTTTCAGCTGGAAAGTCATACACTGCGTAAAAACATTCAACGTTCATTCCGCTGTGGCGACCCCAGATTAATGAAGGGACTAAGCCGAAAAGAAAATGAATGAATTATTCCCCTTTTTACAAGACTTTAAATAATTATCTGATGTCGCTAGAGGGTCTGTGTGAAATTTCAACTTAAAATACCCCACAAATAATGTTTTATAACTATTTTAAATGGCCCCTTTTAGGTTTTGATCCAAATTGTGCTGTTTTGGTGACTGTTGCATTCAAATTAGACTGTGCTCCAAGCACTCTTTTTAAAAGTGGGTGGAGCTACAAAAGCATATGTGTCAGCAGGGCTTTACATTAACACCCGCCAACCCGCCAAATGCGGGTAGATTTCAGCCTCTGGTGGGTAAAGGCTGATTTATACTTCTGCGTCAAACGCACGCGTATGCTACAGCGTTGACGCATAGCCCTACGCCATGGACATCAGCGTTGCTGACGTGAACCTCAAATCGGCGCGTAGCGCAAGCTCTGTGATTGGTCGGCTTAGTAGCGATGACGAGTCTGGGCGGGACCAGAGCTGCGCGAATGGTGCGACCCCGACGGAGCTATTGTTTACAAGTGTGGAGTCCTGTGAAGGAGCTCCGGATGTAAAGTTTTGTTTTTTGTTTACCTCATAGTTAAAGTTGATGCACGTCCGCCAGTTCCTGCCTCAAAATGAGCGAGTTTGAGCCACTTGTACATTCAGGAAGTGTTCAGGAAAAGCAAAACAGCAGCGAAGAACCTCGACACAGAGGAACATTTACACCTCACTGCCAACTAGCGTTTCGGAAGTGTTAATGCAGATCAACCGAGACAGCGCGTAGAAGTATAAATGCACAGCTACGCGCGTCGCATGTGCCGTGGAATACGCCGGTCACTTGACGCAGAAGTATAAACCAGGCTTAAGACAGCCGCTCCCACGATCCACTTTGGCAAGTTGGAAATAATTTTTACATTGTAGTTTTCTTAAAGTAGGTTTCGACAATAAGGATGGCCCAATATGCGTGCAAATGTGATCTAAGAATCGAGAAGCAGCACGACGGACAACAATAACTGTGTTCGCGCAAGCAAAAGCAGGTGAATACCTTATGAGAGGATGATTACTCACGCGTACAGGTGATGTGATGCGCGCGACTGTTAAAAAGCTACCGTTTACGTGCGCAAAAACAACCGTGCGTAGAGGAAGCGCAACTGTTGCGATCGGTTCTCTTTGAAATTGACTGGACAAAAAGCGATGCTCGTGTAAGCTGCAAACCTTTGTAAGCAGCAGCAGTAGTCACTGCTCTCGTTTGAATTATTCTCACGCACGTGATAATCCTTTCACTATCATTCGTGGTATGTTTTTACCTGCTTTCTGTTGCTTACAGTTATTTTGTTAATATAGTTTAATTATAATACTTTGCAATAACATTGCTTTAATATGATATTAACTCCACATTTATGTGTAGTTACCTCTGATCTGGGACCTTTAGCCAGGACAGATTACTGTGCATATTTTAGACATGATAATAGTTATTTTTAAATGTCATTTAAAAAAAAAAAAAAAAAAAAAAAAGAGTTTTGTGCATGTATACAGCTATTTATTTGCTTTTTTTTGACACATTTAAAATGTGTGGCTAAGAAATACATTTTCTTTTTGGTGTGGTCAGAGATAAATTTGGTAAATCCTTAATTTTGAGCCCTAAAAAAAGTCATGTGAAATAAAAAACAATTTTAATGCGACACAACCCATTTGCTCATGCACAGTGAGCAAGCTCACACACAACACAAACAAACAGTGAAATAAATGAGCAGGCATGTGGACAACACATCTAAATCAAGTCATTTTAGCATGTCAAAGCCACATTTATTAATACAAAATATTTTTTTTCCAACCAACAAAATTGTGGCTAGTGAAAATGGCAAGTGGCTAGTAATGTTGGAAATCTACTAGCCATAGAGGCTGGTGATCAAAAAAGCTTATGTCAAGCCCTGTGTGTCAGCATAGTGGCAGATTTCAAACAGGACTAACATTATCTCTATGAAAAACTGAAAATCTCAAATGAAGTGGTTCAGAAGAAGGTATGGAGACTATGGTGCTCTTTTGTGCATCCTCAAACTCAATTCTTAGTTGCTGACATTATCTTCAGCAGGTATGCTTCGAAAATCCTAATGGCAGATGTCTGCTTGTTACTAATGGTCAGGGCTTTCTCTCGCTGATGACATGTACAAAGGAAGAATATCAAATTTAAACAATAAGTGTCTGCAGACTGTTTTTATGAGGTGTGATTATTAAAAAATAGAATTAATGCATGTGTACCATTAGCGGCTGGTTATTTTCACACACAGTTATCTCACAACTGTGTTTAAACCCCTTATATCATGAACAGTAAACAGACCACCAACAGTCCACGATTTTGTACACCTGACCCGAGGGCCACAGAGACAATACACCATTTTTAGCAAAGTGAAACATTTCCCTCTTTACACAAACAGGATGTCTCATCATCCCCCATGGAAGATTCTTCTTCCTGTGTCTGACAGGGTGTTTTTGGCCCAGACTGCACCGAATTACAGTGGTCTGGTCAATGGTCAACACTGATGTTTCAAGGCCCACTGTCAAAGATGCTATCATCAGACATGCTTAAAATGCAATACTCAATTATAACAGGGAACCATATTCCAACTGTCTTTGCTTAAAGGGACATTTTACCTGAAATTGCTTGAAGACCATTAGAATAATTAATAAACATTGAAAAACAAATACTTTGAATGTACATTTGACATGCAATTCATAATAAATTTAGAATTATGACCAAATGAATATGTAATATAAGTGTATAATTATAATTATAATAAAAGATTTAATTATTATATACTAAGTCATAAGATAAATATATGGCAAAAATTAAAATTATGAGTCATACAGCAACAATTTATATATAAATTTATATATTAATTTATAGATAAAATATAAATGATGACATATGAGACTGTGCTCCCAGCACTCTTTTTAAAAAGTGGGTGGAGCTACAAATGCCTATATGTCAGAATAGTGGCAGATTTAAAACAGGACTAATTTTATCTCTGTGAAAACCTGAATATGCCAAATGAAGTGGCTCAGAAAAATGTCGTCTTTGGAGACTACGGTGTTCATCTGTGCATCCTAAAACTATAATCTCTGACACTATCTTCAGCAGGTTTGGCTCGAAAACTCTAATGGTGGATGTGTGCTTGTTATTAATGGCCAGGGCTTTCTCTGAAGACATGTACAAAGGAAGAATATCAGTCAAAGTGTTTTTGCACTTTTCTCACATAATTCATTGTTAATTTAGAATTATGACCAAATTAATATGTAACATAAATGCATAATTATAGTTATGATAAGTCATAAGATAAATGTAGGACATAAGTTGTAAATATGACAGTCATACAACACCTAATAGATAAAATATTAATTATGACATATGAAGAAAAAACTATATAAATTTGCTATTTAATAGTTAGTGTGTAATTATTAAAGCATATTTATGACATTAACTCACAAATACTTAATAAAATTTGATGAAATACTATGTCATATTATAATAAACTAAGGTTATTTTTTAAATAAACAAAGAGTCAGATTTTACAGCCATTTTATAACCTTGATTTGGGTTTTACTTATGTACCATAAAAATGTATAAACTTAAGATTTCAAGTGTAGTGAGCTCCAACTTATAATTAATCCTTTAAATAAAAAAAAAGGTAACTTTCACAAATGTAGTCTTGACTGTAAAATTATAATATGTGCAACCTTTTAAGTGCAAGGTCTTTTTTTTCAGTAAAAGGCTACTTATATATATATAACTAAGTTTGGTGAACTGAACAATTTAAGTATAGTCTACAAAACCGAAAAGTTAAATCAACTTAAATATGCAAGTTTTGGGAAACTCTATTACTCAATTAAATTGAGGCAAGGAGTTTACTCAATTAATTTAGTTCAGTTAACTTATTAGGGTTTTCAGTGTAAAGTATCTTAGTATCTCAAATTCCTCTTCTCAAGTAATCTCAAAATCAATAATTAATAACTTAATAATTCATTAATTTGAATAATCTTACTTAATTTTATAATATAATACAAATATAATGAGGCTTCAAACTCTTTAAATGTGCCATACTTCATTAGATTTTCACCATATTTAATTGTTTGTTAGTTTAGTTGATTAGTTGTTTATTAATGGATAATTGGGTATAGTATTGTGATTTTACCATTATAATTTCAGGTTATAACGTAAACTACATTGATCGGGCCTTTTCTTGTCATTGTCTTACCTTAAGGTGCTGAAGCTGCCGTCGGTCATCCTCTAGTTGTCTTTTCTTATTCTCAATTTCTGTCTGCCTTTTCCTCTTTTCCTGTTAATAAAAATCATATGATATTAACATTAATATTGAGATAATACCTACTCAAACCACTGATGTAACTTAAACAAAACACAAGTGAGCACAAACAACCATACAATAGCATACCATGCTGTGATATTTTTGCTAGTGTTTTTTAATTATTTGCTAAGTGACAGCATTGTTTCCTTTTTGGAGATCACTTTCATGTACACTCACCTGAACTACTACTCCCATGGGACATATTATTGCATATACACACACAGATGCAAGAGGTGATGCAATTATAACTTGATGTTTGTTATAACAGCTTTCATAACATTATTTATCAATAGGTGGGTTTTTGACTCTCAGAAGCTATGAAAATTTAAAACTTAAAACAGAAAATACATTAGGACCATTACTGTTTACATCTCTCAAAATGGTCTATACTGTATGCATGGTTGTCATGTTACAAATAAATTGTAATTTTGAAATAATGACACTTAATCACACTTTTGCAGTTGTTTTTTCAGACGATAATATGTCTCCAGCCAAGGATACTAGACAACACAAGCCATTTTAGACACAGCTCAAAATCATCTGTTTCCAAACTGCATATGTAAAAATCTCTGACCCAGTTTCAGATTTGTGAAATGGGTTCAGTAGGTGGGTTTATTGAGACCGCCAGGGGAGCATTTGGTGTGAGAATCTGACTTACTGCAATAGCCTGGAGCCGCTCCTGCTGTGAGACTGACTCTGACATCCTGAAAGAGACAGAATATATATTAGGCTACCAGGTAGTACAATATCCACAAACAGAAGGAAGATTTGCTTCCTGTTCTGGCATCTGGCTTTCCTTTGCTATTTTGGTGAAGTCTGTGTGTAAAATGACATAGTTGCTGTCTTTGCACCAGTAAATGCAGGCCCGTAGCTAAAAGGGGAGCTTCTTTTTTTCTCAAAAAGTGGACCTTTAGCAGTTATTTGCCTCATTTTCTATTAAATTATGAAAACCAAATACTGCTTTTTAGTGACATTTTAAGCAATATTTTTTGCTGGATACTGGATAGTGTTATTAATTCCACACTTTTTGATGCAACAAAAAAGTCCTTATTTTTTGTCAAAGTGCTTACCATACTATTTTATATTCACAAAAATGTATATATTTTTTACAATGTTTATTATGTTGTTACAATTTTATAAATAATGTAATGAGATAAAAATTTTAAGTTAACATTTTTAACAAAGAAATACAAAAAAATACTTGTTAATTTATTATTATCCACCATTAAAAACAAAATATAGAAATCTGTTAAAACTGTAGCCTATAGGCAAATAAACTGACCAGCCCAATTCCTCAGTCAGAATTTGTCCATTTAAATTATAACATATAATTAAATTTGTTTTAAAGCCTTCTTCTATTTGTTATTTTTACAGTTTATGATGGCATACTAATGCGACAAATGAGCTCAAAAAGGGGCCAAATTCTGGAAATTGTGAGTAGGGGATGAGTCTTTCGAACCACCCGAACCCCCTCTGGCTAGGGGCCTGCATAGCCACACAACACACCACTAATTTTCATAGAACTCTCACTTTAAAGCATTAATTAACAGTCAAGATGGAAATTTAGAAAAAATGGAAAAGACCTTTGAAATCTGCAGAATAATGGCTGCCAAGATTCAGGATAAAATGGAGCTTTCTCGTAATGCAAGAGGGGAACATTTTGAAAAATGAGCTTTGTAAGATTATATTTATGCTGATTTTGATTGAGCAAGAGAAGAAAAATTCAGCTTTGGAAAGAAACTCCAAAAATTCCTTGTACTATTTGTGCAACTGATTCCAAGAACAGCATGAAATGGCTGAAGAACTGTGTTGACGCTCACCACATCCTCTGAAGGTCATGCGGGAGAAATGTCTGTAGACAAATGCCAGCATGAAGTTCTCCCTAATGACAAATGAAATCTAGTTTCCCATCAGGAACATCCTAGTTCAACTCACTACCTAATTTCTTGACAACACACCCACATTTCCTTGTTCACTTGCGAAGGGCCTGGCTCATTCAGAGATGGACCCCTGCTGTCGGCCCCATCTTCTGAAGGACACAGCTGTAGCAGCTCCCCCTATACAAAAGCTGAGGTGAGATTCCAATAGGGAAAAGAAAAATGTAAAGACTGTACTCTGACTCGCCTCACTCACTTTCCCCTCCCCCTTCCGGAGTAAACACAACACCTGTACAAACAGTCTGTCAGAGGAACTGAATGGTGACACAGCAGCTGAAAGCATGAATAATGTTGATGCTGAACCTTCTTTACGGAAGGAAATAATGTTTCAAGCTGATTTTACAAAGGTGAAATCATAAACCCATAGAAATTGCCATATGCTTTCTTTTATATAAACTATTGAATCTGTATAGTAAATTTATATCTACATCTCTGAAATCCATCATTAAATGATAGGTTTGAAAATACTACTTTTTTCATAATAAAATAGGTGACAAAATTCCACTGACTTATGTTGAAAGCTCATATTCAGGGCCTAAAACCAACTTACTGCCACACCTGCCAATGGCTCGTGACTAGCTATAAAACATTTCCCCAAATCCAGATATTTATATAGTTTTAAAGTGACCTGACCATATTTACCGTGTTTTTCCCATTTGGAAATGGAACCGAATGGAACAGACCATCATCATAGTCGCAATATCAAATTCATGCTACTCTGTCTTAGATCCATTCTCACCAAGATCATCCGTCTCTAAAATGCAGAGAACCATTCGTTTGCACCATCTCAGTGTTTTTGCATTGGCAGAATGACTCCAGGGGTGTGTTGCCACAATCTTGGGTTTTGCAGAATAAACAAGCTAATAATAATAAAAAAAATTATAAACAAAAGATTGTTAAAAAAAAGCAGACATGTTTCAGGTTAGAGTTATTAGAAACGTAAAAGATGGGCAATTAATGCTCTGGACTCATCAGCTCATATTTATCCCATTATTTGATTCACTGTTGTCAGTGATGCCAGAACAGCCAATCTTCAAAAAATATAATTTGATTTGCCTATGTTAGAAACAGCAAATCACTTTAAAAAATGGATGTCATTCTTTATACATTGTATTGTATTAATTCATCATTTTGTTACCCACCAACTAGCAATTGTCAGTATTTATAATGATATCTCATAGTAATTCGTAACTTTTAGATTTAGTGACTAATTACTATGAATTTGTGCGATTTCATTCATACAGTTTTGTATGAATTGAACATACAGATTAGTGACAAAATCATAAAATAGTTATATTTCCAGGAAAATACCAGGAAATACTCGAAATAGTTGTTTATAGGTCTTTTACCTTTTGCCAGTTTAGTTCAGTTGTACAAAATTGTATGATTTTAAAAAGGAGGTGTGGCACCCAACCCCACCCCTAAATCCAACCATCATTAAGTGATATTGTACTAAATTGTATAAATTAGGTCATACGAATTATAACAATTAGCCACTAAATCAAAAAGTAACGAATTACCGTGAGATTGTGTTGGTATTTCATATAGCTACTCGCAAACATGATTTTGATTACATTTTGCCACTTTGGGGAGTTTTCATTTTCGGCATTGTTTAGGAAGTCAGTAGAGCAGAATATCAGATACAGTTAGGCTGTATTAAGCACAGGGCTGCATGATTAATAAAAAAACAAAAATGAAATTATGACATGGTTTAGTGTGATTATTAAATTGCAAAGGAGGTTTTAATAAATAAGCATATGCACTGTTTTGTTGTCACAAGAATCACATGCTCAGTGTCTCAGTTCTCAGTAAACCTGCACACAAACTTCACCATCATTATGATCATCATCATATTATTATTTATTAATTTATTTTATTTTTGGCTAAGTCCCTTTAATAATTAGGGGTCACCACAGTGGAATCAACCGCCAACTTACCCAGTTTATATTTTATGCAGCAGATTCCCTTCCAGTAACAACACTGGGAAACACCCATACACTTTTGTATTCACACACATACACTACGACCAATTTAATTTATTCAATTCACCTACTGTATAACACATGTTTTTGGACTGTGGGGCAAACCGGAGCACTCAGAGGAAACCCACGCAAACACAGGGAGAGCTTGCAAACTCCAAACAGGAATGCCAACTGAGCTTCAACTAGAGATTTCTTGCTGTGAGGTGATAGTGCTACCCACTGTGCCACCGTGCTGCCCGATTATATTAATATTATTATGTGCAAACCATTATGTGTAACCATAAATGATTGTGCTCTTTTTATTGAGACTTTTATTGCAGTAACCACCCTGAACCTGAACTAACAGCCAACACTCTTTCAACAGCCCAAAAAATACAAAAACCACCATTCTAACAACCATTTGAATCAGCTTATCAATCACCAAAATAACCAACAGCACCCTTAATATCCAAGAGAAACCAAGAGAAACCCCTTACCATACATGTCATATTTCCAATGTTAACAAAAAAAACAACATTATATTTAATGAAGTTGCACAGTAAAAAAAAATAGTTGAATCAAATTATCTTTTCTAGTCATTTCAACTTACATTAATTAAACTGACTGAAAATTATTAAGTTAAACGTTGTATAACTTAAAAATTTTGTTTGTCATTACAATTTTTACAGTGTGTGATACCAAATAATTGTCCAGTTTCTGACTGATTTGAGAGGATTGTATTAGAGTGATAGACGGCTCCTGTCAATGTCAACTCTATTCCTGTTTTCAACATTTCAGCCAATTTTAATTTAATTACTTTGACCATTATTGTGTAAAATGTGTTTTTTTTTCTTTCAGCAATATTTTTCAAGCATACAATGTAATCATATAATGTGACTTTTGCAGGTTTCTACAAGTCATATGTAAGAGACTTTTTAAGACATTTTAAAGACAATTGTGAATTAAATTTTAGACTTTTTATAAGGCAAAATGCTAAGGTTGAAAAAGATTTTTAACTGCCTTTGAAAAATACAGCTTTTTAACAAAAACCTTAACCAAAAAAAAAAAAAACTTTAACCAAAAAATTGACAAGTTTTAGAAACTAAAATTAGTTTTAGTCCTAACCAGGTAGCTATAAATACACTGAGTACTGTTAAACAAATGTTATTGTGAGGAAGATAAATACACCATATTGGTACATCGAGTTATTGTTTATTTAATGGGCTAAATGCACAGCTAGTGTTTTTCAGCCAATGATAAACTTCCGGTGAAAGCTTAATGGGACTATTTTTAATTTTACGAGTTTCCTTTTGCAGCATCAATGTTGTAATGTAATTACAATACATTCAGTTGAATAGATTTAAGCATACATTACGTTTTTCAAGTGTAAAATGAGAAAAAAGACCACGTAACCACTAGTGCTGTCAGCATCAACAGGCGTGCACAAAAATTCTATTATTATATAAAATATTGGTGTAAAATAAACTGTCAAATTTGTTTTGGAATTTAATGCAGTGCTTCTTGTCTGGTCTTTGACCCATTTTAAATCGTTTATCTATCATGCAGTGAAGATCTCAGATTTTTAACGAAATCAGACCTTAAACGTGGCAATTTTATAATGGAAAGACAGTTCACTGGAAAAGCTGAGGCTGGCTGGCTGAATTTAAAAGTCTGTGTGCATATACCCCATTGTGCTTGTGACTGGATGAATGTTAGCGCAGTTTAATAGCTGTTCATAGAAATTAAAAAAATAAAACTGGTTTAAAACTATTTAAGATCTACAACACAATATTTCAGTGAATTTAA